GATTCTACATGGGGAATGGATAGCGAAATTCGTAGAACAAAAAACAAAAAAAAACACAAATTTCTGGTCCAGTGTAATTTTTCGCTTAAAGGCCGTGGCACACGATTTCTACATTTGTACATTTATTATCTTACCCTATTGGTGCAAATTAACAAAAAATTACGTTCACACAATTGGGATACGAATTTGCACCAAATTTTGGGTAAACGCGAAATCGTGTGACACTGCCTTAATACACTATATAATCGGAAGTAGGGCTTGGTATGTAAATATTATTTGCACGACCGGTGCGGTCTCTGTTTTCGAACGATATATAAACTAACGATAAATAAACTACTTAAATAAGAAGACAATAAAAAGTGCCCAAATTTTATTTCTTTTATCCTCTTTTTGCTTTTCATTCAAATTAGTTAAAATTTTAGGACTATTCAGTAATTCTAACCCCTTCTTCTAGATAGTGTTTTGTGAAGTACATATGTATGTACGTAAATACATGTAAAAAACATTAAATATTTATCATAATAACGCAAGTACATTAGACGGCATCACTCCCAATACAAAAAAAAAACAACGGTACTCTTTTTCCACTGGAACTATAAAATCTATTATATTTTAAGACTTTCGCCAAAATATCTCGCAAAAATATTAAGATTTATGTGAGCTGGACCAATGTGAACATACCTCCAAAAGTTGAGTGAGATTTACGTGAGATCCTAATATTTTTTCCGAAATATTTTGTTAGAAGTCTTAGAATATACTAGATTTTGTAATCGCGCCGGAAAACCCGCACCTTTCTTTGGTGCTGCAGTCTAATGTGCATAAATAATGATCGTGAAATGTCAGTCAAAGTCTACTACATAATTGTGTCGCTAACAAACTGCTTCGTGAAATACTAATTTTAATTAAAATTAGTTGACAAAAATGCATAAAAATAATAACGCCAACATAAAGCGCCTTTCATGTCTTCAACACTTCTGTGTGAGCGTATTATAGACTGGCGGTTGGCTATAGCTAGCGCTGGCCATATCACATTCCGCTTCTATGATTGCCTCGGCGTTTTCACCGCCGCGGGGCTGATAAGTGATCACATAATTCGGTGGCGATTGCGTGTAATTTCCGTCACGCGTGGGCACTTTCTGTCGCAAATGCTGCAAACCCTTGTAGGTGATAAGGACACATACCAAAATTAAACCGATTAGCGCTCCATAAAATAAATTCATAAGAAAAGAGTTAGTATCACATGGCACATGCATGCTAATGAAGAGCACTCTCATTTCCTTCACACATTTCTGCAGTTGGGCCGAGCTCACACATTCTCCATGCTGTTCCAAAAAGCCAACATTACAGCGGCAGGTGTCGGGCGCTATGCAACTGCTATGCTTGCCACACGTATCCCTGCAGTGCGCTACGCAAGTGTGGTCGATGAGCGAGTAGCCGGCGATGCAGTGGCACTGGTTCGGTGCAGCGCAATATGCATGGAGAGGACAATCATTCACACAAATTGGTTGACAACTCTGCTCCAAATCTCCGATTGCCCTATTCTCGAAACCTTCTATGCATTGGCACACTTCCGGTTGAGCACAATACGCATTAAGGCCACATGCGCGTGGGCATTTGGGCCGGCATGCCTCATCGCGGCGCACGTAACCCGCCACGCACTCACAATGCGCGGGCGCTACGCAGATGCCGTGCGGTCCACAACCTCCCGTACATACGGACAGACAATCGATACTGTCGTTGCGCCGCGTGTAACCTGCGACACATTCACAAACTCCAGGTTGCAGGCAAGTGGTGGCATTGCCACAGTGTGCCACATCGCAGATGGGTTGACATTTTTCGCTAGTGTTGGTGATCGCTTCATAGCCGGCGTCGCAGGTGCACACATTGGGCGCGGTACAATGCGCGTGCGCCTCACATCCTTGGCTACAAATCGGCTGACAGCCCGTGGTAGTCTGCTCGTAGCCCGGCATACAGTGGCAGGTGCTTGGTGCTGCACAAAAGCTTTTTTCGTTGCACTTCTCACTGCAGATGGGCACGCATTGGCCTGAGGCATCTTCTTCGTAGCCAACGTTGCAGCGACAATTGTTGCTGCCCACGACGCAAGTGGCATTCGCCGGACATCCTTTGACACAATCGGGCTGACATTTATTTTTCTCAGGATGATAACCTTTGTTACAAGTGCAACGTTTGGGCTTATAGTCACAAACGCCATTGGCGCAGTTCTCATCACAAATGGCTTGGCAAATTTCTTGCAATTTACCTCTGACCTCTAGAGTTTTACATAAAATCGTTTTACATTGACTAGGTTTGATGAAGACAACGATTATAATGGCCAGGTTAAATAGTTTAAGCGAATTCATCTTGGAATTAACTATTTTACTTGACTCTCCGCAGATGCACTCGTAGCGCTTGAGTGTTGATAGAACTTAGTCAACTAAACGTAAATAAAAGAATTACTCAACAAAGGAACCTATGGGATAAAACAAAACAGTGTTGCCAAGTATTTATTTTAATATTTGGGAAGATATGAATAACTCCGTGCGACAAAAACAAAAAAAAAAAAAAAAAAAAACGAAACACACGAAGTAATCAATATACTCCCGAAACTGTGGGCCAAATACATATAGTAAAACAGGTTTTTAGTTTTTCTCTATGAAGTCAGTATTTTTTTTAAACAACAACAACATACTTGTAATAAAAGCAATAAGTCTCAAAATTTTCAGGTTAAAATTTCAGCTGGTTGAGCCTGTATGGCCTCCTAAGTTTTATAATCAGGGAACGGATTTTTAGGACCTATAAACCTATAAAAAAGGCAAAATAAAATAAGGAAATAGGCTGGAAAAGGCAAAATAAAATAGCGAAATAGGCAGGAAAAGGCTCTAGAAATAGCAAAAAAGGCAAAATAAGGCACCAGAAAAAGGCAAAAACTGAAAAATAACACTGGTTTACAGGAAAAATGTTCAACAGAGTACATATCCAATTCCTATGTAGAATTGCTCGATGATTCCGAAAATGGAGTTTTCAGGTGTACATGGCGTATGATTAACATTCTTTCCTGCTTATTTTACATACAAAAATATCTTTGCGCATTTTCACATGACCACTTATTACTTCTTTATTTATCCATCGATTTTCTTCATTACACGGTCAAAAATTTGGGTTTAGTTTTTAAACCGCGCTGGGACTACTGCCTTTTTTAATCTTTTATAGTCTACTTTTTAAACCAATCAATAGTTTTAAGCAATTTTTTAATATGTTCTGGTTTACATTTTAGCCCAAAAATTTTGTGGTTTAAAAATCAAACCAAAATGTTTAAATTCTAGAATTATGAAAATGTTTGGGTTTAAAATTTAAACTATTCTATCGTTCATCGGGCACCAAATCATTTTCTAGGCGTAAACATCTATTAATTATGTGCTCTGCTTTTCCTCGGTTAGGCCGCTAGAGGTGGAGATCTGTAAAAACGAGGATGCCTCATTTTGTGATACCACTAAAAAGATAAAGTATTTGTGACAGATGTACACGTAAACGTAAATACATACATAGGTCGAATGCACTTGGAATTACTAAAATACAAAATTCTTAAATACATAAGTCACTTTAATAATTCTGAAATAAAAATTAGTATGCAACCCTGAACAGAAAAAGCGTTTATGTTTCCGATATCATTCACGTAAAGCAATGATGGGCAAAACGCTACTCGCGAGTAGCGTCTGCGTCGCAGCGCTTATACGTATACAGAAACGACGCAGCGAATTTCAATTCAGTCTGCTTTCAGTTTTCATGAGAGTGACACCACGCTTCGCCGTTGAATATTTTTATTCGTAATTTTAGCGCGTTGTTGCCACCTATATATGTAACAATGCCCAAAATGGCTGCGTATGAGTGCCAATTACAGTTTTTGGTTTTAAAAAAAGCCAATAACGCCCAATGCTTGTTATGTGGTAATACGACTACTTGGAATCGTACTTTTAATATAAGGCGACATTATTTGTCATGGTAAAAAAGTCAAACTGCCGAACTGTGTAAACCAATTTAAAGTTTTTTGTAATGGGTTTTATGTATATATGTATGTACGATACGGTAATTTAATATATTTAGTATACTTTATTGAATACTGAGTTTAAGTTGAAGAGTTGAATACACAGTTTAGAAATTTTAAATTCGTGAATTTTGTTGTTGAATAAACTATCATTTTTTAAAACATTAGTTTAATGAAATTAAATTAAAAAACTTTTCATGCACGTACATATGTACTTATAAAAATTAATTTCATAATTCATTATTTGAAATTATTTCTTCATTATTTTATTATATTTTATTATTTTCGTTTCATGTTCATAATACAAATTAAATATAAATTTGTAAGAGCGTTTTCTAACACGCGCAAAAAACGACGCACTTTTGTACAATATAGAAAAGTGGCAACTGTTACTCAGCGCGATTCACGAATACCATGACAAAATGAGACTGTATTGGTGTGCCCATCTATGACGTAAAGCATGTTATTATATACATACATAGTTGTAAATGCATACATAAATATATGTAGTTGTACATACATACATGCATACATATAGCGATAATATAGGAGAAGTTTGCTTTTAGTAAAATACGTCCATATTTATTTGTATAAGTAATAGATTACTGAAATCTGCAGGGAGTTTTTTTTCAGCTACATACATATGTATGTACACACATATTTAATTTTTCAAATCAAGTGAAATCGTATGTACATTAGGCTGCATCACGCTTCATACTATGAAAACTCGGATTTTCTTCACTAAGCCTGGTTTACGAACGCAGTCAAAAAA